GAACCAGAGGAGTGGAGAAAGGTGAACTGAAATTTCCTCCTGAGCTAACTGGGCTTGCCTAACTCAAACCCAGGAATTCTGCCCCATGAGTTGATGAGGGAAGGAGAGGCACTTTTGCAGCCTGACTGCTTGGGTTATCTCGAAAAGGAATATTATTACTAAACCTCATTTACAAGCAAGGAAATACGGGGCTCTGAGGGTTGTGTAATTTATCTAAGGTCACACAGATAGTAAAAGGTAGAGTACAGGCCCTGTGTTTGTTAGAGTTAACACTTCACATCTGGCTTTAGCTCAGCCTACACCAGAAGTGCTGAAGTCTGGAATGCTTTGGGTCTTTGGGGCCCCACAGGCTGGCTCTAGTGATAATACCATCAATACTTAGGCACTGCTTAGGCATTTCCATTCATTAAACAGCCACTCTTGATTTTGGGGAGAGGAGAAATGGGCATGCAATGAAACACCAGCCCATTTGCCTAAGGTCCTCTGATAGAGTAGATCCTGGCTTCAGACTCAGGCTGATCTTCCCCAGCCAGTTGGGTCAGATGTCAATTCCTGCCTTTCTCCCTCCGCCCCACCCCCCGCCCCACCATTTCCATGCTGGTTTTGTTGTGTTCACTTGGTTTAATTTTTTTAATTTCTCATTAAGACACTTACTGCTCATTTGTTCCTACCTTGGCCATTTGTTCCCTGGTGGCTCTTGGGAAGAAGTCCATCTGGAAATACTACTGTGCAGATCAGAAAATAAAATATACTTACTCCTTGTCGTGTGAGTCCTTTTTTTCTCTTCTGGACACTACATAGTGCCCCATTCTCTCCAGACACTCCTGCCATGCTCACCACGGGTCCTTGACAATACTTGGGGGATGGGCCATTGAGTCAAGAAAGACTCACAATGAGTATGACTAACAGGTAACCCTTTCCTATCCCGTGCCATCTTCACAATCTCTGACACCCTCTGAAGCCATTGCTGCTGTTACTATGTCAATGCACCTCACTGAGTATGATCTTCCTTTCTTGTGCTGGCCCCCCACCTTGCCAAGCATGATGTCTTTTTGCGAGGAATTGCCTCTCCTAGCAACATGCACCAAGGAGGTGAAACAAAGTTTCCCTACTTTTGCCTCCAATGACCACTCCGACTGCACTTTCTCTAAAACATAAATGTTCTTTCTCAGTCCATGGGAGAGTCAGCACTCCACCACTACACCTCAAAGACATCCATTCTTGTGTCGGTCCTTATTCATTGCCGAGCTCTCAGCAACAACATAGAGAGTGACCAGAAAGACCTTGGCCTGAATCAGACACACCTTAGCCTTTAAACTGACATCATCACTCCTCAGAGTTTTAGCGAGGTCCCTGACTGCAACTTTCCCATTGCAACATTTCTCATGATTAAAAGACAGACCATTTTGGGGGGGAATACAGGCACTATTAATTATAAGTCTCTGAGAAGCACAGCCCAAACCAGAAACCAGAGCACTGGCCAAGTAATTGAAAGTGACCTTCACTGTTCTAATCACCTCATTGTCTGTCGTCTTTGGGATTTTAATCCGCTATCATCACTGCCAAGAAATCAATCAATAATTATGCTCTGTGTCTCTGACCCTAAAATAGTCTATTCAAGCCCTTGAAGTCTTTCTTGATCTCTTTGGGTCCTAAGTCCTACCCTAATAGCACAAGCTGTTACACCCTGTATCCTAAATTCAAAGGGAAAACCATCCACAGAAGTGGAGCAGTTCAAAGTGCTAGGAAAGCGGGGGCGACCCACTGGGCTCCCTCTCAGCCCCATTCTGGCCCCTGGCTGGAGGGCAGCCCTGCTGACTCACTTGGGAACAGGGAAAGGTGTTAGCTTGATTCACTGAGTCTGGGCAAGCCCGTGGAATTGGAGAGAGTGTTGCTCGCTGAAAAAACAACTTCCTGTTTAAAAAGATCAGGGAACAGCCTGAGAGATGCGAAGCTTGACTGTTGGGATGGGTGGGAAATACGCCAACTACCTGTTAGGCTCCTCTTTACGAAGCCAGAGAATGATTTGAAAGCAGGACAGATGCCAACTACTTACCAGAAAGCTGGGCTGCTCCTGACTCCAGTACAAACTGGCCCTCACAACCCATCCAGAATCCCAGGGGTCTAGGTCATTGTGCAATCTGCATTGCAGATAATCAGGAGTTTGAGATGGAGGGAGGCTGCAATCTGTCTGGAACAGACAAGACAGGAAAAGTTAAGGGAGCTCTGACTACATCTCTCATCCAGGACAGTATCCTAGAATAAAAGACTGTCCCAGGAGGCTCCTGGGGGTGGCTTGGTTTGGGGATGGCATGTATTAGGAGGAAGGAAATGTTATCTTGTGTTGCCATGCTGAAGCCACAACAGAGATCCATATATGAAAATCATCAATCCGATTTTAAAATGAACAAAGTTTTCACATGTCCCTGCCTTAATAGTTGGCCATGCACACATGGACTTAGAAGTAGAGTTCTCTCGCTGGCCTTTAAGACAATCCCTGGTGCAAAGCTTGGGAGGAGGTCCAGAATGTTTCATTAAAGGCTTTTCTGAGCTTTGTCAGCAAGAACTTGTAATTGCTTCACTCAGTAATGATTTTTCTAGTATGCACAGTGAGACTCACTGAAGCATCTCTCTCTAAAAATAAATATTCCATAGGCTAAAAATACCAAAGGCTACCCCCAAAACAAGCTATAAATCAACTGAATGACTGTGGAAAGTTCCTTCTTTGAAGTTGTTACTACTGGGTGCCATTGAATGGGAACCGACCTATAGTTCACCCTCCAGCAGGTTTTCATAGGCAGTCAATTGTATTGGAGGAGATTGTCCACCCTTCTCTAGCACAGCAGATGGTAGATTCAAATGGTGTACTGTTGGGATTGCAGGGCAGCTTCTTACCACAAGGCCACCAGAGCTCCCTGCTTTGAGGTTATAGATCATTATCCCACCCACTGGTGCCAAGTCAGTTCCAAGCCCACAGAACAGAGGTACAGAAGCACACTACATTGTCTCTCTCCCAAAGAGCAGTCAGTGTATTCAAACTAGGTTTCTTAGCTTTCTGTTAATAGTCCAGTGTTCAATTTGCTGTGCCACTCTATCTCCTTATAAATCATTACCTTTTTAAGAAGACCATTATAAGCTTGAGAGGGACCTTGGCATTTTTTATATCTCTTCCCAGTCAATTAACTGCTTCTGAAAACCCACTGGCAAAACAACTATGAGATATCATCTCACCCCAGTCAGAATAGCAAAATTTAACAGAACAGCAAACAACAAATGCTGGCGAGGGCGTGGAGAAACGGGAACCTTTATTCACTGTTGGTGGGAGTGTAAAATGATGCAACCACTATGGAAGGAAGTATGGCACTTTCTCAAAAAGTTACAAATAGAGATACCATTTGACCCAGCAATTCCACTACTGGGAATATACTCCAAAGAAATCATAACCACCACCCAAGCAGATATAAGCACACCCATGTTTATTGCGGCTTTGTTCATAATAGCAAAGAGTTAGAAACAACCTAAGTGGCCATCAACAAACAAATGGATAGAGAAGCTCTGGTATATTCACACAATGGAATACGACACTGCATTGAAAAATAAGGAACTCATGAAATATACAAAATGGGTGAGCCTGGAGGACATTATGATGAGTGAAGTATCTCAGTCACAAAAGGACAAATACTGAATAGTGCCACTGTTGTAAAACGGACTCACATCAGGGTTGGGGGGAGACTGAGAAGGATGGGACAAATTATATACACTGCATTGAAACAGATGAGGGAGAGAACTGTTTAAAAGGGATATATGATTAGCATTGTCATGACAGGAGTCCAGAACGGAGGCTACATAGTGGAGTGGACTTGGAGGGAGGAATTATATACCAATGAAAGAAATTTTCTTTTACTTTTCAAAGAGAAGAACTAACTGGGGTGCGGGGAGGTTGGGCAGGGAGAAAAATGAAACAATGAATGAATGGGAATCCAAACTCTCCATAAACTTTCATTAAAATGAATAATAATAATAAAAAGAAAAAAGAGTTGATGCCTTTGAACTGTGGTATTGAAGAAGAGCACTGAATAATACGGAC